AAGACTATATCTGTGGGCGCTGCTCCTGCCATGAGAAGCTTTTTACCTGCTGAGAGTGAAATTGACTGAGGTCACATGGTCCTAGTCAATTTCATTCACAGTAGGCGCTTTAAGACAGCAAAGCCCTCAGTTCAGAAATAGTACTACCAACTTACAGCGTCAACTTGAAAGCAAGAAGATGGCCAGAATGGGAAAAAAGGAAGAGGCAGCATAAAAACTACTGCTTTAAAAAAAATTGGTTCAGCCATTAAAAAAAAAAAAAAAAAGAGGAAGATAAGTGTTAAGTCTAAGACCAATTTTGATCTTCAATTTGGTAACTCACATTATTTCTGCACTGATGACTCCTCAGCCTACCCAAGCTTAATTTACTATCGGTTACACTCAAATTGTGATTTCGGCAATTTTGTCTCATGGTGAGTTTTGGGATCTGTTACATAATTCTGAAGTGGAAACCAACCAGGCTAAGTTTAAGAACCACTGTATTAAAGCAATGGGTAAGGAACAAGGACAGCTAAGCACAAAGTGTTTTTATTATAAAACCTTAATTTCAGAATTTTTCTCTTTCTCTCATTCTAAAACTTGTACTCTTAGGAAATTACACTTAATGTAAGAGCTATACACATTAAATAATTTTAATGATATGGGAAGGAAATGATCTCCTTTAAAACAACACAAATGCCAAAGGCTGAGGACGACTCCATGGTTGTCAGGACACGATTCCACTCCTGTCACACAGCTCACCGGTCAGGAAAAGGACAAAACTGAAGAAAGGACAGAGTACGGTGCCTTCACGAAAAGCACACGTGCTCAGTACCATTTATAGATTCAATGAATATTTTGCTAACTGGGCATGGATATGCATGGGCCTTTACAAAATTAACATCTAAGTTTCGTCTACACAGAAATGTTTAATAGATACTAGTGCTGACGAAGAGAAACCTGTTAAACATTGGACACAGTTCACTCCTTATTTTCTCCTTCTATAAGTGAAGATAATAAAATAAATTCTATTTAGCATCATGGAAGATAAAAGCCACTTAATTCATATGTTCTGAGAAAACCACACTTAAAATTATATTTTTCTGATGCAGATTAACTAATGTATAAAAAAAGCAAACAATTTTATCCTCAAGTGTTTTTCAACCTATGGGTTCAAGTAAATCCAGTGTGTCATGCTCAGCCTTTTAAGAAAATGAAAAGAACTGAATTGAAACCATGGGAAGGCCTTGTAAATGACGCGAAGGAAGGTCACTGTTTCAGAAAACTTCTCAGTTCCACACAGGTGTCTATGTTTGAATGAGGCTGCACTGGAAACGGAATGTCTTCTTGGAAGTTACGATGACAAAAGCATGACAGTCACTGTTTTAGAGGCAGCAGGGAGGGAAGGCCCACCTCGGAATCAGGCAGACCAATTGCCTCATAGGCCTGTGAAAGGTAGACAATGAAGGCTGAAGAATGGATGATTTTGAATTCTGGTGTTGGCAAGGAATAGTCTATAAGTATCATGGGCTGCCAGAAGGATACGCATGTCTGTCGTAAAACAAGTACAGTCAGGTTGCTCCTCAGCAGCTCCGATGGAGACTTCATCTCACGTACCTGGGACATGCTCCCAGGAGGCACGTGTCCCTGGGAAAGACTATCATGCGTGCTAAAGCAGAGAGGGTCAGTGGCAAAGATGCCAAGTGGCAGCCGGGTGGATGGGCACAGTGGCTGCAACAACAGCCTCGAACATAGCGATTGCTCAGGATGGCCCAGGGCCAGGGAGCGGTTTGTTCTGTCCTGCACTGGGTCACGAGCGGTCAGAACTGACTCCGCAGCACCCCAAACGTGGATATTACAGACATTTTCCTCTTTATATCCTTGCAGTATTCTAAATTTCTATGGTGTTCTGCTATAATAATTACAAAAAATTATTTTAAAAAATGAAAGTCTTCACTTACACGGAATATAATTATAGGTCTATTATAATAGGCATTACCAAAATAGCTTCAGAACACTTTTTATTTCAAACAATCCAGAATGCATTTCAAAGGTATGATGATCTAACTAAAAATACAATTTCAAAATTAGCAGGTGAAGAATAAAAGCTAATTTATTTTTTTAAAAGAGTCATTGTGATTTCATTTTGACTATTTTGCCTTCTTTCTGAGTTAACATATCTAATGATACAGCTCCAAAAAGACAATTAAAATGCTTAGCCAATTAATCCAGTATTAGTAACTTAATTATCTTAAGAAAACTATGGAGTCCTGTAGTCTTCATATTAATATTCTCCATATTGCTAGCATAATACTCTTTTCCTTCTTTGCTTCTTAAAGAGTTTATCACCAGTGGCTGTTTCCCCTCATGGAGAACAAGGATTGCACAACCGTGAAAGCTATCTTACCAACTAAAGGAGCAGGAGGAATAAAATATTACTTGAATGTGATCATGGTTATCAACAATTAAAAAACACTTGGATAAAAGTGTCACCCTGCTTTCCTCAAATGTTTCAGAGTATAAATGAACGAGAAGGCTTCAAAAAATTCGGAGAAAAATGACATAATCTTTCAACTCCATTTTCCATGAAATTTTTGAAGGTCCCTTGTCCATTTGGCAAGGTCAACTCCTTTAGGGACGAGATGAAAGTGAAAGGAAGAACCCCAGCGAATGATTTAATTTCCATTTTTAGTGAACATAAAACGGAGAGATGAGAAAAGTTGTAAAGAGTTCTAAGTTGACTTTGAGGTATAAAACAAACATGAAAATGTAACATTTTCTTTGGTAATAC